AACAAAAAGAAAGGGATGCTTTGTACTTATTCTCCGGTGAATATTCAAGATTTTCTAGCCCATTCTGTTTTTGAATCATCTGAATTGTAGATAAAAACAGAACTTTTCTCCTCATCACGAGGGCATCTAAACACTATTTATCGTCTTCGCTACCGGTTGAAATGAAATTTTGCTCATACTTTTTAGTGGAGACTCCATATTTCTGCACGAGAGTTCAGTTCATACGCACTAGTCACGATCACATTACTCCATCGACTCCTCCTCTGAACGATAAGCCATACTAACGGGATGCTCTGTGTCCCGAGTAACTCGGTAGAACCTGTCTTCAACACTGAATGCAACCCAAGAGACATTGCAAAAGCTATGGATCGAGATTAAACTCTAAGATGGCCGTTCAATCAGGTTATCGTTCGGACATTGCAGTGCAATTATAAGTGAATTATTCTTGCCAGCAAATGGCTGACCAGTTAAGACGTCATAATACCGCTCTAGTGGATCCGGTAAGAAATCCGGACGGGTCAAAAAAATCCCAGGAATTTTTCTGGGATTGGTCCGATCGGATATTCGGGCGCTTACCGGTCACCCCATTTGTAGCCTAGCCGACCCCATAATGGGTTTGCTAAAAAGGCCCTCTTAGTGTTACAGGGCCGTCTGTACATTATATCGTGGCATTTTGCCATTTTTGAAATTGTTTCGTCACCAGCAGTATCGATAGATATACTGGTCCTTGAGTTGCCAACAGCTCTAATGCTACAGAAGTGGAGTAATAAATATTCCTGCCACCTCGAGCGCTGAAATCGCTTCGCGGCGTAAGTTTGGTTCGAGCATAGGAAGAGTCAGCTGTAAATAGTTGAAATTCCTTTAATATATAAAATTTTCTCGTTTTTAACTCAGATATTTCTTCTGTTTTTTTTTTTAAAGGACTACTTATAAATACTATTTTAATTCGGTTTTGAACATTATTTAATCGTAATTGTCATTAATATTTATATTTCTATTAACTGTCACTTTCACGATTTTAGACTTTAAATTGATTACACTGTTTGTTTTTGCTTACAATTTGTGTTCTTTTTTAAATAGTTTTGGGAGTTTTCGTTAAGGGGAAGAAAACGTAGTCAAAAAATTCTATAGGCCTGTTCTGTATATTAGGTTGGGAAAAAAGAAATCCATTATTTTGTTGCTAGATGGCTTTAGTGATATATATCTTGTAAAGTATTGATGAAACAAGTTCAGACTTGTGCTCATTGGAAAAGTGACATTCCATACTAAAAAAATTCTTTTACAGTTTTTTGATTGGTCGATTCAGTTGTGAGTTATAGGGTGTAAAAGATGGAAGTTAACAAAGAGAAAATTAGGTATGTTTTACAATTTTGCTTCGATAAAGGCGAAAATGCAAGCCATGAGGCTGAAATTGTGAATGGTGTTTATGGTTTCAATACTGTCACAACCAATTATGCGCAATTTTGGTTTCATTGATTCCGTTCTGGTAATTTCGATGTTAAAGATGCACCTCACACAGGTAAGCCCATTGTCGAAAATGTCGATAAAATTATGGAAATGATCGAAGTAGACAGGCATTTTAGCAGTTGTAGTATCGCCCAGGAGCTAAATATTGACCACAAAACAATTTTAAACCATTTGCATAAAGCTGGATTCAAAAAGTTCATGTTTGCGTGCCACATGAATTGACGCAAAAAACATGATGGATCGAATTTCCTTCTGCAATGTCTTGATCCTGTCTTTAATCGATTTAATCCTGTCTTTGGCCAGACAGGATTAAATCGATCCATTTCTTAAATGGATGATGATTGGGGATATGAAATGGGTTACTTACAACAATATTGTGCAAAAACGATCATGGTCAAAGTGTGGTGAAGCAGCTCAAATGGTGGCCAAACCAGGATTAAAGGCCAGGAAGGTTTTGCTATGCATTTGGTGGGACTGGAAAGGAGTCATCTACTATGAGCTGCTTCCATGTGGCCAAACACTAAATTTGGACCCCTACTGTCAACAATTGGACCATTTGAAGCTAGCAATTGACCAGAAGCGGCCAGAATTGGCCAACAGGAGAGGTGTTGTGTTTCATCAGGACAATGCCAGGCCACACACATCTATAGTGACTCGCCAGAAACTCAGGGAGCTTGGTTGAAAAGTTTTGATGCATCTACTTTATAGTCTGGACCTTGCACCAAGCAATTACCATCCTTTTTTTATCATTGCAAAACTTGTGAAAATCCACTTACTTGTTAGTTGAGTTTTTCACCAATAGGGACCAGAACTTCTATGAGAGAGGCATTATGAAATTACCTTTAAAATGGCAACAAATTATAAAACAAAACGGTGCATATTTGACCCAAGTCGGTCAATCCACACCATATTAAATAAAGTCTTCATTAAACGTAAAAATAATGGATTTCTTTTTCCCCAACCCAATATTATTAATATGGGATGCCTTCGGGATTCCCGAGAACTCTCTGAATCAGGAAGAAAAGGGAATGATGAAAATTATATACAGTAAATTATAGAAATGTTAAACCATGTGTTAAGACAGGATGGATTTAAAGTGTTACAAAAAAGGAGATTTAGGGTGGTGTTGGAGTTTATCAACTTAAGCCCATATCTTTTTTGTGTTGTTATTTTCGAAACCGTGTTTTTTGAATACATTGGACTTCGAACTCGCATTTGAGTTATAAATAAACACTTGGCTTTATTTCCATCATTTTAGTTGATACGCGACGACAGCACGTTTCGGGCATAAAGCCCCTCATCAGTCAACTAAAAAATATATACAATTTTTTAAAAAGTTTACATAAAATATCTTACAAACATAATTAAAATATCGTATGTTTCTTACCATATTCGATTTTAATATATACAAGGTCTTAATTGGCGCACGCAACTTATTTTGCAATAAGTGAAGTAATTTCATTAAAGATTTGACAGTATTCAGGAGTTTTTGTATATTTGACAATATCCAGGAGTTTTATACATATTCACATGCATATCACAAGATAGAAACAGACATTTTGTTACACTATTCTTTTTTAAC